GCAGCCAAGCCGACAAGCCCGAGAGCCAGTCGGCCAGCCAGACCCCGGGGCGGGCCCGCGGAAGTGGGCGCGCGAAGGGCACCCAACGATGAGGCCTAGCCGAGCCCCGTCGTCTACGGCAGCTCGCAGCCGATCTAGCGGAGAAGCACGGAGCAACAAGGGGGGCGTGGCACCCTGCATGATTTCCCCTGGGGCCGTAGGCGACACGAGGAGGAGGAGGAGGAGGAGGTGGAGGAGGTGGAGGGTGGGGGGAGGGGAGGAGGATGGAGGAGGAGGAGGAGGAGGAGGAGGAGGAGGAGAGGAGGAGGAGGAGGAGGAGGAGGAGGAGGGGGAGGGGGAGGGGGAGGGGGAGATGGGGGAGGAGGAGGAGGAGGAGGAGGAGGAGGAGGAGGAGGAGGAGAAGGAGGAGGAGGAGGAGGAGGACGAGGACGAGGACGAGGAGGAGGAGGAGGACGAGGAGGAGGACGAGGAGGAGGAGGAGCAGGAGGAGGAGGACCGGTCGCCTAAGCCATTCGGAGAAACCCTCCACCTGTGCGACGAGGCGGAGCGACCCCGCCGGCGGGACGGCCAAGGACGCGACACGAGAGAGCGGCACGGAAGAGCTGGAGGACAGCGAGGTCGCGGGAGGGCCCCGCAGGGGCCGAGGGGGGGCCCCAGGGTGGAGCAGCAGCCGAGCGGCCACGGGCCACGAGAGGTGCCGACTGTGCGACGGATCCTCTGACGCGCGAGTGGGTCCAGCCAGCGCGCTTGCACGAGGGGGGGTCACCCTCAGAGCGAACTGGCTTCCCTGCGAAGAGGCGCAGCAGTCCTGAAAACACCCGCCGCACACTGCGCACACGCGCTCGCGCAGTCTGGCTCGTCCGCCCCAGGCTCGAGATTCCTCCGATCCTCTCTCTCTCTCTCCCTCTCTCTCTGGAGCGAACAACCCTCATATCACGTGCTCAGGGAGATGTGCGACCTATGCTTGGACAGGCCACTGCTGGACGCTGACGTTGCTGAGGCGCCTCTACGGTAACCAAACACAGAGCCCTGTTTACTGAGAGTCCCCCTTGCGCTCTTGCGGCCCTTGGACCCGAGCCTCCGGGGCGGGCCACAAGCCCGACCATGCCACAGCTCGTGCCAAGGCGCGTCCATACCCATCGTACCCCGATCTACTCGGTGCTCGGCAACAAGTACGGGGAGCCCACAGGAAAAAGAGGAGGAGGAGGAGGAGGAGGAGGAGGAGGAGGAGGAGGAGGAGGAGGAGGAGGAGGAGGAGGGGGGGGAGGGGGAGGGGGAGGGGGAGATGGGGGAGGAGGAGGAGGAGGAGGAGGAGGAGGAGGAGGAGGAGGAGGAGGAGGAGGAGGAGGGAGGGAGAAGGAGGAGGAGGAGGAGCAGGAGGAGTAGGAGGATGGGTCGCCAAAGCCCTTCGGAGAAACCCTCCACGAAGAATGACATAAACATAAAAACTCTGAGGTTCGCGCGGATTTCTCGGAGGGCGCGCTCCGCGCGCCAGGGAGGGGGGTCCGGCGCGGATCCAAGAAATCCGCGCGGACCTCCGAGTTCTTATGTTTATGTAACTGTTCATTCCCCTACATACGCTCCAATGCAAGCGCACCCGCAGCCATCGCGGGCCAATCCACGTCCACACGGCCACAGTCACCCCCCTTACAGGTGCTCACAGCTCACAACAGCACCCGTCGCGCATGCCCCTGCCGATGCCCACGCACACAAACCCGCCATATCCCTACGCGCGCACGCCCGTGCCCCATCCCCGCGCGCGCACGTGCCTGCCCGCACGCACCCGTGCTTGCATGGGCCAGCGCCGTCGGCTTCTGATGGGAACGGCTCGGCGAGAGACTGCAGGAGCCGCCTCGACACTCGTTAAACACGCCGCCGCGGGGCGGCACTACACGGCGGCGGTGTCGCGGCTTCTATACGCAAGCGGCCGACACTCACTACAACTACAAAGACCTGGCTCGCCCGGCGCGGAGGCCAAACCACATGCCTGCACGAGAGGAGGAGGAGGAGGAGGAGGAGGAGGAGAAGGAGGAGGAGGAGGAGGAGGAGGAGGAGGAGGAGGAGGAGGAGGAGGAGGAGGGGGGAGAGGAGGAGGAGGTGGAGGGGCGGAGGAGGAGCAGGAGGAGGAGGAGGAGAAGAGGAGGAGGAGGAGGAGGAGGAGGAGAAGGAGGTGCGAGAGGGGAGAGCGCGAGGCGGCCCACCGAGGCCTCCGACGACCTTCTCTTTTCTCGAGCCGCTGCCCTCCGTGCCTCTTGACCCCTTGCAAGGGGGTCGGCGGCGAGCCCGGGGGGGGAGGCGATCCCCATCCCCAGCGGCGTGGCCTGGGCCCCGCTGGCCGCTTTACCCCCTTGGATGGGGATACAGGCCGTTCCCCTCGGGTTTCGAGGGGTGTATCCCCAACTGGGGCGGTAACTTGGTGGGGGTCTCGAAGGGGATGGGGATGGGGATTGGTTAAACAATACCGAGAGAAGGGGCGGGCCTTCTCAGAAGGCTCGGAAGTCCCCCGGCCTTCTGAGAAGCTTCCTGAGCCTTCCCCGAAGGCACGGAACACTTCTCAGAAGGCGCGGCGGGCCTCTAAGAAGTCCCGCCGCCTTCTGGGAAGGCTTCTCCTGCTCTCTTCTCCCTGGGCGCGCCGCCGAATGTGGATTTTGGGTCGTAACTCGGGCCTCTGGCGGCCGCTGGGGACGATCCGCGCACCCCTGGAACGCCCGCGGCGAAGCGCAGCTGCTGGCAAGCATCCCGAGGCTGGAAAGCCGCCGAGAACCGACGAAGATGTCCCAAAACCTCGAATCTCGACCCCGAAACTCTTGACCCCGATCCATACCTCTTGACCCCTTCCGAGGGGCTGGCTTCTGATTCCGTACCGTTTCGTCAACGGTTTGGAGGCCCAGGCGAGGCCCCCAGAGATCGAGAGCTGCGGGTGACCTCGGGCGCGATCCTCGCCAGCAACTGGGCACTGGGAGGTCTGGGCACACTGGGGGGGGGACGCCTGGCTGATGTTTCAAACGCCTGAGGGCTTTTTTACCTAACAGCGAAGACTGATAGGTTTCTAATGGGGTCAAAAGAGAGCATCTGATGACTCCCCAGGGGGGTCTGGGCGGGAGCCGGACAGGCGAGGACCGGGCTCGTTTTAAGCAAACAGTCACACACCGTGCTCTTCGACCTCCCAGAACTCCATTCCCGGGCCACATTTTGAATGCCCGGAGCCAACTGTAGGCCACTTCGTGCTCTTCGACTTCCCAGAACTCCATTCCCGGGCCACATTTTGAATGCCTGGAGCCAACTGTAGGCCACTTCGTGCTCTTCGAGTTCCCAAAACTCCATTCCCGGGCCACATTCTGAATGCCCGGAGCCAACTGTAGGCTACTTCGTGGTCTTCGAGTTCCCAGAACTCCATTCCTGGGCCACATTTTGAATGCCTGGAGCCAACTGTAGGCCACTTCGTGCTCTTCGAGTTCCCAAAACTCCATTCCCGGGCATGATTTTGAATGCCCGGAGCCAACTGTAGGCCACTTCGTGGTCTTCGAGTTCCCAGAACTCCATTCCTGGGCATGATTTTGAATGCCCGGAGCCAACTGTAGGCCACTTCGTGTTCTTCGAGTTCCCAGAACTCCATTCCCGGGCCACATTTTGAATGCTGAGGCAGGCTGAGGCTGAGGCTGAGGCAGGCTGAGGCTGAGGCAGGCTGAGGCTGAGGCCGAGGCTGAAGGCAGACTGAGGCTCAGGCTGAAGCAGGCTGAGGCTGAGGCTGAGGCAGGCTGAGGCTGAGGCTGAGGCAGGCTGAGGCTGAGGCTGAGGCTGATGCAGGCTGAGGCTGAGGCAGGCTGAGGCTGAGGCCGAGGCTGAAGGCAGACTGAGGCTGAGGCTGAAGCAGGCTGAGGCTGAGGCTGAGGCAGGCTGAGGCTGAGGCTGAGGCAGGCTGAGGCTGAGGCTGAGGCAGGCTGAGCTGAGGCTGAGGCTGAGGCTGAGGCTGAGGCTGAGGGCTGAGGCTGAGGCAGGCTGAGGCTGAGGCCGAGGCTGAAGGCAGACTGAGGCTGAGGCTGAAGCAGGCTGAGGCTGAGGCTGAGGCAGGCTGAGGCTGAGGCTGAGGCTGATGCTGAGGCAGGCTGAGGCTGAGGCTGAGGCTGATGCAGGCTGAGGCTGAGGCAGGCTGAGGCTGAGGCCGAGGCTGAAGGCAGACTGAGGCTGAGGCTGAAGCAGGCTGAGGCTGAGGCTGAGGCAGGCTGAGGCTGAGGCTGAGGCAGGCTGATGCTGAGGCAGGCTGAGGCTGAGGCTGAGGCTGATGCAGGCTGAGGCTGAGGCAGGCTGAGGCTGAGGCCGAGGCTGAAGGCAGACTGAGGCTGAGGCTGAAGCAGGCTGAGGCTGAGGCTGAGGCAGGCTGAGGGTGAGGCTGAGGCAGGCTGAGGCTGAGGCTGTGACTGCGACTGCCGTTGCCACTGCGACTTTCATCGCGAATGCGACTGCGACTGCGAGAACAGCAGAATTCTACAACTGGATTATCATGTGAATCTTAAAGGGGAATGCTTCCAGATATGCTCCTACACATCGCTGTTAGGTTGCTTTGCCGGGATAATGTTTGCGTACCGTTGTCACCTGTTCGGTCCTCGGTCGAACGCAGGAAAAAAAACAAGACAACAAACACAAACAACACCACCCAGGAACAAACGGAAGAACAAACAAAGAACTGAGTGTCAACAAAAAATCAAAAGAACTGATTATGAATCCAACAGGCACACAACAAAAGACACAAAACACAATAAAACAAAAAAAGCTGTGGTACAAAACAGCAACAGACAACAAATGGAAGGAGCATACCAAAACGTGAACACACACAACACACAAAAACAACAAAAGAGGGGCCATGTCGATCTTGTTTTATTTAACATACAGCAAAAATACGTATACAAAATAGAAATATATAAACACAACAACAACAAAAAAAAACAACTCCAAAAAACAAAAACAACACACAAAAAATGCCAGCGTTGTACACATAAACTGAGCACGGGGGAAGGGGGGAGAGGCGGGCCGGTCGATCAAATTGGCCAGACTACCCTACGCACACGCAGGCAACACAAGAGCAGCGCTGCTCAATTGGCAAACTGCGGATTGCGCGTGCCGCGCGTGCCCTCACGCGCCGCCCGCGGCACCTGGGGGCTTGGGAACGACAGCGTGCCTGGCCAGCCAAGATCATGCAGCGAGTTCACGTCGTCGATACTGGTTTCTGTCACTACGTGCCTCGTTCAACCTTGAAGGATCGCGGCGTTCCAATATCTCCGATCTGTCGATATCGGCCGATTCCAGGCCCCTGGCTACGGTCAACCTAGAGCGCCCCCGCCGGGGTCGCCGCCGCGTCGACACGGCACAAACCCGCCCGTACCCGAGAGCGCGTGGGAGTACGGTAGTGGCAGGATCAGCCAGCATCGAGACGGGAGATCGGAGCGGACTCGAAGCGTGCGTCGGATCGGGCCGCATCAGCACTCTGAGTCGGAGTCGAATCGGGCGGGCCGCGCCAGGATGCACGACCACGCTCATGCACGCATGCACGCATCGGGCCGCGTCCGGACGCCAGAACATCGGAATCGAAGCCGATCTCAAATCAGATCGATCGGATCGACGTGGGCCCCGTGGTGGCACCCAGGGGGATAGGCCATCACCAGGAGGGGGCAGCGGCAGCGGCAAGAGCGGCGGGGATCGGCAAACGAACGGGTGCTCCTGTGGAGGACGCCAAGATCGCTCGGAGGATCGCGACGCCTCGCAGATGCATCGGCGGTGCGGCGCGATCCTCCGATCTCATCTGCTCCAGCCCCACGTGGGCTGCCTGGAGGGAGCGGACACCGTGCCTGGGCACACGAGATGGGGGATCACAATCAGAATCAGAAGGGCGCGATGCCACCGCAGGAAGCATGCGCAGAAACACGTCACGCAACGAAAGCGACGAGAAACGGCAAGATCAACGCACTGCCCACTGACAAGAGCTGGGGGGGAACAGAGACATGCCGACTCCGATGGCCTCATACCTCTCCCAAGGGGTGCGTTCTGGCCAAGACTTCGTGGGGAATGCAGGTGTGGAGACGAGGAGCAGCCCAGGGTCCAAAAAGGGCGAGAAAGCTCTCAACAGCCTCGGTCTGATTCCCTCCTCGAAGCTCGAGGGGTCGCACTGCGGTCAAGTCGGGCTTCACCCTCTACACGAGGCATCTTCGAAAATGGTCAAACAAAAATAGCATAGGGGACGATTTGCCTACCTGTTTTTGACTCTGTTTGAGGCATTTTTCTTTGTTACTAATTGTAACTGTTCGGCCGAGATCCGCCCGTGGGGGGACAGGCCCGACCTAACACTGCGGGGATCCAAAAGGGGGACTCTGGGGATGAGCGGGCGGGACCTGCCTCCCCAGGCGGCGCGCTGGAAACATCAGAAGAGGCAACCACCGGGAGGTTCTCGTCGGAGGGATCAACGAGGATCGGGCCCCCTTAGGGGGGGCTGTTGCGCCGGAACGGGCCTCGGATCAAGCCGAATCCAGCGGGATTCACCAGGATGAAGCCGGATTTCGGGCGGCGGCCAGGGCTGAATCAGAACTTGACCTCCCAGAAGTTGCATCCGAACAGACACGAAGGGGCCCTGGGACACACACACACACACACACACATAGATATATATATATATATATATATATATATACACACACGCACAAATGACCGGATTCCCCATAGTTTCCCATATCTTCTGGGTTTTAGTCTTTCCCCCCACTTCCCATATTTCCCCATACTCTCTGGGGAGTCGACGATTGACTGTGCCTGTGTGTTCCCTTCCCTCCCGAGAGCAGGACGCCTCGAGGGAGATCCCGGCCGTGGCGGCCCAGGGCCCCCGGCCGGCAGGGGAGGCCCGGGAAGGGGCCGGGCGGCGGAGAGGGGGGGCCTCGGCACCGCCGGCGGCTCGCAGGACGGGGGGGGGGCTGGATGGATGGGGGCGCCTTCAGGGTTATGTCGGGCGTGTCCCCCCTACAGGGGGATCTTCGACGGCCAACCAAAAATACTCCCCAAAAGTACCCCAAAAAGGTCAAAAGATATGCAAAGAAAATCCCTGGACTATTTTTGGACTATTTCGGGGGTATTTGGAGGGTTTTGTTTTTTTTTGTCCGTCGAAAATCCCCCTGTAGGGGGACAGGCCCGACGCAACTCCAGGACTGCAGGGGGGCCCCTGGGTGGACTCACAGTGGAGACCCGGCCACCGGAGCCTGCCGCGAGAAGCCCAATCCTGAGGACCCCTGAGACCCCCAGGACGTGCATGGCTTGCTGGTGCGGGAATGTCACGCCTGGCATGGCAAAACCATCGAAACCCAGGAAACCGGGAGCAGCCTGGAGGCAAGCAGGGTGTTTCTTGACATGGGCCTCCACTGTACACTGTTTGAGGCCCCTCGTCCTCTGGGACCCACCCCCAACAGCCCCATCTCTAGAGGCCCCCCAAGTTGGGTCCGAATCGTGCCACTTCGCGGATGCATCGCCCACGTTCCGTAGCCCCCTGGCTCAAGCCGTCTCGGCTCGAGCCCGCCCCTCGCTCAGGTGCGCACTCGGGCCAGGGCCATGTCCGCCCTCGGGGCCGCCCTCTCGGGGGCCGCGCTGCGCCGCCGCCAGCGGCTGGTGGCGGCGCGGCGGGACGCCGCGCCTGGACTCTGCGGCCCACTGCCGCCGCCGCCGCTGCCGCCGCCGCCGTCGGAAGCGGCCAGCTGGGTGGCGGTGGTTTCCGCCGCCGCCGCCGCCGCCGCTGACGCTGCCGCTGCTGGCTCCCCGCCGGCGGCGGTGGCGGCGGAGGGCACGGTGGCCGGCGCCGCCGCGGCCGCCCCCGGGGCCGCCGGTGGCGCGGCCGCCGCCGCGGCTGCCGCCGCTGCCGTCGCCACCTCTGCTGCCGCCGCCGCCGGATCACCTCAGGTGGCGGCGGCGGCCGGCGGCGCCGTGGCCGGCGTGGCGGCCGCTGTCGCGGCGGATGCTGCCGCCGCCGCCCCGCTGCCGGCTCCCGCGCGGCGGCGGCGGCGGCGGGCTCGGCGGCCCGCGCCGCCGCGGCCGCCCCCGCGGCCGCCCCCGCGGCCGCCCGCGGCGAGGCCGCTGGCGCGGCGGCGGCCGCCGAACAACAGCAGCTACAGCAGCAACAGCAGCAGCAGCAGCAGCAGCAACACCTGCAGCCGCTGCCGCAGCACCAGCAACAGCCGCAGCTGCAGCAGCAGCCACAGCAGCAGGACAGCAGCAGCAGCAGCAGCAGCAGCAGCAGCAGCAGCAGCAGCAGCAGCAACTGCAACAGCCGCAGCAGCTACAGCAACAGCAGCAGCAGCAACAGAACCCCGCAGCTGCAGCAAGAGCAGCAACAGCAGCAGCAACAGCACCCCGCAGCCGCAGCAGCAACAACACCCCCCTCACAACCACTGCCTCAGCAGCAGCTGAACCCACGAGAAGACTCAGAGGTACCCTTGCCCCCTCAGCAGCAGCAGCAGCAGGGCAGAGAAAAGGAAACACCCCCTATGGGAGCCAGCAGAACCCAAGAGAAGACTCAGAGGTACCCTTGCTCCCTCAGCAGCAGTAGCAGCAGGGCAGACGGAAGGAGAGGGAGGCCGCGGCGGCGTCGGCGGAGGCTGCGGAGGCCGCGGAGCATCGGGGGCCCGAAGCGGCGGAAGCCTCTGAAGGTGCGGAAGTGACATAAGCCTTCATCCGCGTCTCTGGAGTAGAACCGGGCGGGCAGGGGGGGGGGCCGAAAGTGCTGACGGCAGCCGCATCAGTCAGCTAAACGAGATCCCGGAACAGCAGGGGCTCGCCTACCACACCGTGCCACCCCCACCTCCCCCTCAAAACAATCAGACCGTCAGCAGTCCTCTGGGGGCGCCACAGACCCAGCAGGGGGGCCACGGACCAACCGTCCAGGTGCAGGACAGCGAAGCCATTCACTGGCTCGTCGGGAGAAACCCCTTCGCGCCTATTCGCCCCCCTTCCCCCGCCAGTGAACCCCAGGCGCTCTCTCCTGAAGTCCAGGACACGACGGACAAAGAATCTCGCGCTCTGGCAACGGAAACTGCGTCGCCGGACGTGCACGCGCCCGGCATAACCAGCGGCACCTCCGAGACCAGAGAGTCCTGCGTTGACCGAAGGGGACGCACCCGGGAGCGACGGCGGGCACAGGCCCGAAGGCGAACGCCAGCGAAGGGGGCCTCTCCCCACGCACCACAGGGCAGCGTCCGCCCTGGCTACCGGAGACGATCCGACCCCCGCCTGGCGGCCAACCACGCGGCCCGCCTCACCCCGCAAAACCCCGCCAGGCGCGCAGCCGGAACTGTCGCGGGCAGATCGCGAGCCCTCCGGCCAGGACAGCGAGGCTGGCACGTTGGAGACTTGCGGCCAGGATACACGGCGGCACCAATGGCCCGACCCGCGCCAATGGCCAGAGCCCACGGACCCCGACACGGGACAGCAGCTGCACAAGACATAAATCAACAACATCCAGTGGGACCTACCCGGGGAGACACCCGGCGAGGCGATGAGGCGGCTCCAAGTCACACTGGGAACAATGTTCACAAGCACCTGGCACGCTTTCGCCAGGCGGCAGTCCGCGCCTGGCAGCAAAGGCGCGCTCGACCCGCTTCGGCGCGACCCGCAAACCTGCCACCTCTTCCTGGAATCCTTCCGCAGCCACAAGTGCGACGTACGGGTCGTCAGCGACGTGCTGGGCTTCGACGTCGACTGGACTCGGCTGTGGCATCTGCACCCGGGCCGAGGCGGCAGAGCGAGCAGGGATCACCACGCGGCAAAGGGCCACCCGGACAAAAAAACAATGGCGGGCCGTCCCCCGACAGCAGCCGTTGCTGCCCCACCTCGCGGCATCGCACGCGCAGGGATCAGGCGCGACCCCCCTCGTGCACGCTCCGTCTACACGGCGCTCTCTGTCATCAATCGCAGCGCTGTGAGCATAGGCGGAGGCACTATCCATCACAGATGGGGCTCTCGCAGACACTCTTTCCAACAAATCGTGTTCTGCGGCGGTTAGCTGCCCCCCCCGTGTCAACGAAAGGTCGGTGTATCACAGATGGGGCCCTCGCAGGCCCACGCCCCCATCAATCGCGTCATCTGCGGCGGTTAGCCGCGCCCCCCGTGTCAACGGAAGGCCGATGTA